AAAATAAAATTATCCTTTTCATATTCAGATCTTTCCTTCATCTTTTATGCATTCATATTGTCAACTAATTTCAAGGTTTTCACATTAAAAAAAAAAATCTTTTGATGTTTGATAACTATTCCTCATTAAAAGAAAATGTTGGATAGCTTGTAAGACTTATTTAATAAATCTTTTAATGTTGCAACTTGTTTGATTAGTCGAAGTGCTGCTTATATTATTCAATAAAAAAATATAATGTTTCATGTTTTTTTTAATTAATTTGTTTCATGATTAGAGGGATTGATTAATATAATTATTATAACTATAAAAAAAAGTGACTTGTCTTTGTACATTAAGATTATAAATTAAAAAGTCAACTCTACTCTCAACTCTACTCTCAACTCTACTCCAAAGAAAGTCACTATTAAAAATTATTCTAATTGGTGGTAGGTTAATTTTTCTTTTCTCTGTTGTTTTCTCTCCCATAACTATAATTTCCCACAGCCCACTTCGTATTGTAGCGATTTCTTCCACATCATCCTAATAATTTGTATTTTAATATGGAACCCAAATCTTGGATGTTTCCCATTACAATAACATTAGGTTCTCTAAACCATACCGAAGTTCAAGCGTACGTGCAGCATTTCAAGCGTTCCAGATGATCTTGGAGACCCAAACGAGAAGGCCTTCAAGCCAAAAGTGAGACCTATGATGCATGGATACAATATGTGTCATTATGCATATCAATATTTATTAAATATATTAAATGTGTAATTATAATTTTGATCAAAATTTATAAATATTAAATATATAAATATATAATTATTATTTTGTGAATCTAAATTAAAAATATATTTATTATAGATTATTAAAAATAAATAAATTATAAATTATTAATCATAAGTTACTTTTTATTATTTACAAATAGAAATAATATTACCAATTTCATTTCTTTCTTAAAATTATTTATATAGATGTTAATTTCATTTATAGTTCATAAAGGATTAATATTTCTATATTTTTACATTAAATATGTTTGTATGTCTTATTTAATTATAATAGATATTTCATAATATTTTAAAAATTTTGAATATTTTATCTATACATATATCATCCATAAGTATCGATGAAGTATTCGACTGCATCGAAATTGAATAAAATTTTCATAACATTTGTAAATGTTGAAATACTTTATCAACATGTATGGATGAAGTATTAAAAAATATCACTTAGATTGCATATCAAATAGAGATACGCGAAGCAAATTGAAGTATTGGTATTTTATCTCATAGGACCCTTCCACCGTGGAAAAGACCAAGTGGCATTACATGCGTGAGTTTCTCGACCGAAACAGAAATCAAAGAGAAGGACCAGTGTCTCGGATAGAAGCTTGTGGCGATGTTGGGGCTACTCGAAAGCCAGATCGCTCAAAAATCACACTTTGAGTCTATTCGAAAGAGAGACATAGAGGTATCGACCGAAGGAAAGGATTACAAGCCCTGAACGTACCAACTCGAGAATGGGTCGAAAAATGAAAGAAGTGGAAAGTCCTCTGTGCAGTTAAACAGTTACACTAAGGCAGTTACTTAAACTAGGTCGAAGAAACAAGGAACGTGGAGGAGACAGTTATTGAGAAGTTACCTTGATCCCATGAAATCAATGTAGTGGTCAGCGGTTACACACCTACGACTCATCAACACGGAATTAACCGCTCTCAAGTAAAATCTATAAATATGAGAATTATATCCCTCAGAAAAGGTCAGAAAATTCATACTTGCACTCTACAAGCACTTATCGCCTGTGCATATGGCTTTCGTGCATGGAATTGCTGGGTATGACAACTTCTTGACCACATTTCTTTTCTTCTTCTAGGTTAGGATTAATGTAGTTTTCATCTTTTTCACGTAGTTATAGGTTGTTTAAACTTCAATATTGTAATCATAAACGTGATCATTATGCAAATTGGATGATGATTTGTGTTGCCAATGTATGTGTTAGTTACACTGTTCGTTTAAGTATTTACATGCATGCAAATTATTGTTTAATTATAATTCATGAAGATTTGGAGACCAACTTTTGTTGATTTGTCTTGTCTTTACTTCCATTCTTAATAACACGAACACTTTGAAATACTTAAATTGAAACAATTTTGTGCTAGTTCAAGTAAAAATGACTCATAAACGAATTCCACCACAAACAAATTGGCACGCCCGGTGGGATCCGTTTAATTGAAAACATAATTGAACTAGTTTTAGGTATGCATGTTGTATGAGACTTAGGAGTGGAAGAACCATATCTATGTCTAATAATAGGAGAGAAATGAACAATGATAATCAAGTAGACGTAGAACACGGAAATCCGAATCCCAATAACGTGACTAATGTGACAAGGGGGGCAACATCACCCCTTGTTGTACTCGAAAATGTGGCTAGGCAAACCAATGTTTCCCAAGAATTCGCGAATGCCACTAATGCCACTAGAGAATATCCATGGGGCATGCTACAGAATTGGCGAAATACCCAACCTATTCATGTCGAAATGCCAGTGCCCTATTTAGGACCAAATTCCCAAATGCACGTACCACAGGGATATAATCTGGGACCAAATGGTTTGGGTTTTGTTATGCAAGACCCGTATCAACACGTAGGGACAAGTCACGAAGGGTCTCTAGTTCGACAAAGTAGTTATGTCCCCACAGGCATTAGTAATCAGGCCATGATGGCCCTTCGACAACAAATGGACCGTAGTTATCATGACATGGTTAATTTGTTATCAACTCAGATGCACAATATAATGACACCTTTGTATGAATTCATAAATAAAATAGGAGACAAATTGGGTGATAGTCCACCTTCGAGAGCCATGAGTGCAAATTTGAACGATATGGAAAATCTAGGTGGGAATGGAGTTTTTACCAAAAATTTAGGAAGAACTCATAGGATCCCTGATGATAACCTAGATCAAATTGTAGAAAGGGTACTAAACAGGCATGGTTTCGTGGTAGGTCGAAATAAGTGTCCCTATTTTGTGTCTGCTTTTCCATAATATATAACTCAGGTAGAATTGCCTAGGGGGGCAAAAGTCCCAAAATTTTTGAAATTTGCGGGAGAACTGAATGAGTCTACTGTCGAACAAGTAGCTAGATATTTAGTCGAATGTGGAGATCTAGCGAACAATGAATATTTAAAAATGAAGTATTTTCCGAGTTCGCTGACTAAGCATGCTTTTAGATGGTTCACAACATTGCCTCCTAATTCGATAAACACTTGGGCTCAATTGGAAGGTAACTTTCATGAACATTATTTTCGAGGTGAAACTAAAGTCAGTATAGTCGATTTAATGAATGTTAAAAGACAAAATCATGAAACATTAGACGACTATTTAAATAGGTTTAGGCAATTAAAATATTGATGTTATACTAATATACCTAAACATGAATTAGTTAAGATTGCAGCAACAGGGTTGGATTTCTCGATTCGTAAAAAATTAGTCAATGAACAATTAAGAGATATGGCCCAGTTAGCAGAGAAAGTAAGGAGGATCGACCAAATTAAGTTAGAAAAAGAAAGATTGAGGAAATTTGATAGATTTGTTCGAAAAGAAAAGATGGCTTATTTAGAGAACACAGAAATAAGTGATGATGCTAATTGTGAAGGTTCGAGTGAGGATTTCGAGGTTAACATAGCTGAATTGCGTCCTGGCCCAACTTATCAATGTCAAATGCTAAAACTAGGAGATAATATAGACGGGATTACAAGTAGGCGATATAGTTTTGATGTGACTAAGGTCGATAAAATATTTGATATTTTATTAAAGGATAAACACATTGCACTCCTAGATAACCATAAAATTCCTCCAGTCGAACAAAGAAAAGGGAAGAAATTTTGTAAATATCATAATATGTACGACCATTGGACTAATAATTGTGTACGTTTCAGGGATATGATCGAGAAGGCAATCACTGAGGGTCGTCTGGCTTTCAAGGAAAAGGATATGAAAGTGGATACTGATCCATTTGTAGCTCATACCGGATATGTAGAGCCAGTCTCCCTGGGAATTAATATGGTCGAGGTTAGCATCGAAGATGATGAGAATTTGAGCCTATTTTTGACAAAAAACTCAAGGAGTTGATGGATGACTTTGCTAAAGAAGAAGAGCCTATCTATCCAAAAGAGGGAGATAGTCTGGTCGAGTTCTTATCCAAGAAAAAGGAGGCTGATAGAGAAGTCATGCTATATGCTCAATGTAGTGTTGTATTCAATAGAGCTACTGTTAAGGCCTTCGAAGAGTCAGAGGTCATGAAAAGCTATAAAGCTGAGAAACTTCGAGAAAAGGTTAAACCTAGCGCTGTTTGAACACTGGGGTGATAATGAGGCAGGTACATATGCCTCAGTATAATGTCCCTATGGGTAAGATGGAGATGCACAACTCATCAAAGTTTGGCAATACCTTTGTGCCAAATGCTAACGTCCCAGTGGGTAAATGGAATGCTCCACCTAGGCAAATGGTTGGAATGCGCCGAGGAAAACAAGTCATGAATTATGCTGGGCCTACATTCCAAGGAGTTCCCAGAAAATTCTCAAATATCTCTAGGGTTCCTGGGAAGTTCTCGAGCATGACTGGAAGCTTTGGACGTGGTTTTCGACAACCTTTTAACAATCTGACTAAGACTCAGTGGAGGAGACAGTAGAGGATGAGGAAGACTACATTCGAAGGTTTCAGAGGAAACTGTTTTTCGATCCCAGTGTCGCAAAAGGGTGAATCATCTCGGAAGTTCATAGAGGATGATGAAGATTTGATAACTGATTGTTTCGAGAGTGGTTTTGATGACTCTCTGGAGGACATTTGTAGAATAGTGTCAATCTTGCCTTCTGAGTATGTTGGGGCCATAGAATCTGAGTATGAGTCAAAAAACATTTTCCTTCAGCAGACGATCAATCTTTCAAACACAATGACCATCTATTAAGCAAATTCTGCATAACCGTCTGGTATCTAAAAGTGCATTAGATGAAGAACATATGGGAACTTAGTTACAGGAGATGCAGCAATGCAATCAAATGTCATACCTGTGCATAGAAGTTGCATTGACTGGTATGCTAATTTGAACATTTTACAATCTTTTAGCTTTCTATTTGCATTTTGCTGATAAATGTGGTACAAACTTTTGGAATCCAGGGCACCCCAGGTGTACTTTGTTGATGAAGTAGTTAAAAATTTGAAGGCAGAAGTGGCAAGGGGAGCAAAACTTAAATGCAGTAAATGTAATCTAAAGGGAGCTGCTCTTGGCTGCTATGTCAAATCTTGTAGAAGGACTTATCATGTTCCTTGTGCAATGGACATCTCAACTTGCCGATGGGATAATGTACTTATTTCTCATATTAAAGCTACTATTTTATATTTTGCTTAAAAGACACATGTGCTTCCTTCCATTTATCTAAACTTTGTTGGGTGTTCACTGTTTCAGGAGGATTTTCTCTTGCTCTGTCCTGTCCATTCAAATGTCAAATTTCCATGTGAGAAAACCAGATCTAAGAAGCAGGCAATTCAGAAGCACCCCACTCTGCCTCATCTGTATGTTTTGTTCCTTGTCATTTGCTCTTTAAGCATTATTAAAATCTCATGCATTGCTTTCTCTTCCAATGTTTTGATGAATTTACCGGATTTCAAATTGGTTTCTTATTTAATTTTAACATAATGCCAGTAGATTAAACCATAAATTAAAGATTTAAAGTGCAATACATATTATGGTAATAAATATTGTAGTTCAATTTCCAAGCCAGAGAATTGTTCAAAATTAATAGGTAGATCTATGAATAATAAATATTGTTCATACTACATTTTTGATTGTCGTAATATTCTTATGAGTGTGCAATTTTCCTGTCAAGGTTTGATACTATTATTAACTAACTCCTCTATACAGGCCATCTCACCACTCAAATCCTCTTGAAGCTTCACAGGATGATAGTAAAAAATTGGTTTTTTGTGGGTCTGCTCTATCAAATGAAGACAAGGTTAGTATGGAACCATTTCTGGTCAAGTTTATTTGCTATCTACATTATCTTTACTTTTTTTTCTTTTTGGGAACTCTTAATTGCAAGAAAATAAAAAATGGATGCTAATCTTGAGTTTTGATAAGTTGAACTATCTGACTTTAATGGAACTGCTCATTTATATATAGAAAAATTGTGTTTACACACAATGAAGTGCATGGTGCACCATTCTGTGCCTCATATACCATGTTTTACCTAGTTGATGTATTTTCCTGACCTTTCTTTTTTGTATCTTCTTGATGGTGCAGGTACTTTTGATCAATTATGCAAGCAAAATTGGTGCTACTGTGACCAAGTTCTGGACATCAAATGTCACTCACGTAATTGCATCAACTGATGGAAATGGAGCATGCTCTAGGACATTAAAAGTTCTCATGGCAATTCTAAATGGACGATGGGTTCTAAAAGTGGATTGTAAGTTGTTCAAGTTCTCTGTTCAATGTTGAGTCACCTAATGGGTTTGAATTTTAGGGTTCTGGTTTGGAAGATGGCTTTCATTTTGGAGGAAATGAGACCAAAGTCAATTATGTTCTATATGATATTTTTAGTTTACCCTTAGAAATCATTTATATCCATGAAGTTAAAAGTCATTATCTAAATTATATATTTGACATTTTGGTAAAGATTATGGATCAAATTAAAAGAACTTGTTAATTAAGACATTGATTTTTTAACTCGGAATCTTGAAGTACCAATAATTTAGCATGAAATCTTGGTAGTCACTATTTACTATTATAACACGTCCTTTACAATAATTATTAGTATAATGGTTTTGCGAGTTTGGTAATCCTAAGGCTTGGATCCTTGCTGGGGGCCTGGTGCAGGAGCCTGGCTATCAGTCTGCTAACATGGGAAATTTATGTTGGTGCTTGAAATATAATTTTCTACTTATACTCTGGCACAGTAATGATTTTTTCCTCATTAATCCATTTTTAACTGTTTATGACTGAGTTATATCTTACATGCTTTTCACGTGTGATTGTTATGCATTCTGTATATTTTTTTAATGCTTATTCTTATTTTTGAATTCATGCTGATTCTAAACATTTTGTACTGTAGGGATAAAAGTATGCATAGAAGAGATAAATCCTGTAGAGGAAGAACCATTTGAAATTAATCTTGACAACCAAGGGTGTCAAGGTGGTCCAAAATCTGGCAGACTTCGGGCATTGGCCAATGTAAATATTCTGTCTTGATTCATATATTCATGTAAATGCATGGGTTGTTGCTTGCACCATCAAAAATTATAATATCAAATAACTTTTGAATGCCTCTTATTTTCCTTGTTAAGCAACTGAAGCATCTAGATGAATTTTAAGGCTGTGTTATGTTAAGCTCTGTAGTGACTTGTTGACTTTAACATTTTTATTTCTTGTCTTTTGGAGGTTTCTTATATGCGATGATATTCATTTGTAATGTTCTAATATTCCAACTGTTGTGGGAGCAGGAGCCAAAGCTATTCAGCGATTTGAAGTTTTATTTTTCTGGGGATTATGTGCCAGCTTATAAGGAAGATCTTGAAGATTTAATTGAAGTGGGGGGAGGTACTGTTTTGAGAAGCAAGGAAGAACTGGAAGCACAAAGACATAAATGTGAAGTGGATTCTTCAAAGCTGCTGATTGTTTACAACCTGGATCCACCACAAGGATGCAAGTTGGGGGATGAAGTTTCAATTCTTTGGCAAAGGCTAAACGAGGCAGAGGATTTAGCTGCCAATACTCTACAAGTCATTGGTCACACGTGGATTCTTGAATCAATTGCTGCATGTAAACTGCAGCCTTTCGTAAACTAAAATGCATGGGGTAGCAGATATTTTGTCGATCTCTTGATAGGGCGTTCTTTCTGCAAAAGAATTGATCAATTGTGTATAGGATTAGCTTGAGTTTAATTTTTTGTCTTGCTCGGGGCTCGGGCTGTTAGTATATTTGGTTTATATAAAAGTTATTTAATGACTCGATGTGGAATGTATTATCTTGGTTGTTTTAAATTAACAGGATCCTGAGTTTTGAGATGGCCAGATGGGTCATAGGGGGTCTCATACCGCAAATAAATGCCAAGGCAAATTCTACCATGCAACAAATAAATGTCTTTTTTCTGTTTTTTTGTTTCACGCCTTCACGCAAGATTAGTGTATAGGAGCATGACTAATTCAAACAGACACAGAAGCTCCAATAATCAAACATATGCTTTATTGTAATATTAAATTTCAACTTCAAATATAATTTTACAACCGAGTATACATATTTGTGTGCAAGAAAAAGGAAACAAAACATCTCTCTACAAGTTATGACAGTCTGGCATGACACTATTTGAGGAGTCCTGTAAGCTCACACATATCCTTTATTATAGTATTAAATTTCAACTTCAATATAATTTTAAAACCGAGTATACGTATTTGTGTGCAAGAAAAAGAAAACAAAACATTTCTACCAGTTAATGACACAGTCCGGCATGACACCATTTGAGGAGTCCTGTAAGCTCAAACATATCCTTTATTGTAATATTAAATTTCAACTTCAAATATAATTTTGTAACCGAGTATACGTATTTGTGTGCAAGAAAAAGAAAAGAAAACATAATTCTACAACAAGTTATGACACAGTCCAGCATGATACTATTTGAGGAACCCTGTAAGCTTGCTTATGGTTATCATGCCAGAAGGCTCGGCAAGATAAGCCTGCATAGTGACCGACAGTTCTTGTCCCACAGAACGCATCATGGATTTGGACTCTGGAACCACACGTGTGCATGCCACTACTATGGTCACTGTGAACACTACTGCTTCTGCAGTTCTGCTAATTGGCCCGTTGGAGATGGAAGGCGTTGGTCAAACACATTCTTCAGTAGCACATCTGCTTCTCCCATTGATGACAAATACTTGTTTGCATGCAGCCTAGTCAATAGTTCTCATTCCCATCATTATCTCCAACACCACCACTCCAAAACTAAACACGTCAGACTTGTCAGTCACCCTCATAGTTTGTGCTAGCAATGCATATTTCATATTTTGTTAGTCACTACAATATATATCTATGTGCTGAATGCAACTCTAAGACACTGTATATGACACGAGTATGTTAAAGAAACGAAATAAAAAGACTTGTATTAAGAAAGAAAATATTTGTTGTATCTAAATATAAATCATTTAATACATTAATGATCATGTAGTGCTATTGTAAAACTTTTACACTATCAACTAAATCATTGTTGATATAACTTAGTTATTACAGAAGTTAATAAACTTACAATATATGATTTGTGATTGAAGTGTAAAATTGATTTATACTCGACCTATTTTCTCATGTTTATTGCTACCTTAGCATGATATATAGTATATACCCTAGAATTTAAATTGGTTGGATCATGTACCTGGAGCCATGTCGCCATAGAATCCAGCAACTGAGGTCCAGGTAGAAGTGTTGGAGAGTAGCAGCTTTGCTTTGCCAAAATCTGCAAGGCGAGGTTGTCAAGTAGTATTCTATTCAATGTAATATCCCGGTGCACAATCGGTGGGGAGCAGTCAGTTTGCAAGTATGAAATTGCATGTGCTATTCCCTGCACAATTTTAAGCCTTGTAGCCCACACAATGCAGTACTTGTCATTAAAGTCATCGGTGGCCTTCACAAGATCAGAAAATGTAAATTTTCCATCTCTTCCCCACACCATGCTAATAGACTGTTGGAATTCAAGAAGAATTAGAAGGCTTAAACTCATATATCTTATTCATACTTGTAACCTTTTAAATACATAATTGAAAGTTGATACAAGTTCTGCTCATAAACATAAAATTAAATGACAAATATAAATATTCATAAAAGTGTAACAGCACCTATAATTCCTATAATTAAAAAATCATAAACGTAGGAATTCTAATAATGCTCCATTAATATGAAATAAACTCAAATAATAGATGCTGATTCAGATTCTCAACACTCCTCCTTGAATCAGTAGCTATTAACTCGAAGTTTCCCTCTCAAGTTCTCAAACTTTCCTTTTGGAAGTGCCTTTGTGAAGATGTCTGCCAATTGATCTTCTGTTATTCAATCTAACTCTTCCTGTCTTTGAATACCATTTATTGGAATTTGTCATATCAAATACATCTTGCTTAAAAGTGTGACCAAATCTTTCATGCCAAACATTACTCTTATCAATTTTAGCAATAAAATCATGATCTTCAATCAAATCAAATTTCAAATAAAAACCGTTTTTGGTCATCTCAATCTTTGCAATCTCTAAACCATGTTCATCCATGATAAAACAATAATTCTCTTTAAAAGAGACTCCATAACCATTCCTTAGCATTTGTGGAACACTAAGAACATTTTGATCCAATTTTGGAATGTAGAGAACATCTTTAACAATTATCATACCTTTCTTGGTTGCAATAGAAATTGTACCTTTTCCATTGGCTTGTACAATTTCACCATTTCCCATCTTGACTTTTGGCTTAATTGATTTGTCAATGGAGGTAAAAAATGATAAATATTTAGTCATGTGACTAGTGCAACCACTGTCAATGAGCCAAGTATTCAATTCATGTGAATTGAATTCTTGAGATGCCATAAATAAATACTCATCTTCATCATCATTTTTTT